AACATATTAATTTGACAAGGAGCTTGTCTTTTACAACATTCAACAGAGTTCATCCATTCTAGGAAAAGTAGCTTCCTGTTGTAATGCTGTATTTTCTCATTTTTACACGAATAACCTATTTAGAATGATTTTCGAAGTGCTTAAAAACAATTTCTTAAACGGTTACAAACCTTTTTCTTAAGCTCTTAAAAAATCATTTCAAATTGGCCTATATAGACTGTTATGATTGATTTTCTCAATTCTCTTATTATACCTATATTTGATCTAGATTTGTGGAGTCCAAATTTGATACAGGCTATGACGTTGTAGTTTCTTCACTGTATGGGATCCGCAAAGTTCACAAGACAAGAGTTCAAGTAAGAACAAACCCTTTATAAACTCTTCGTGCTTTCTTTTCTTTTCTACTTTTCTACCTCCAAACACCATACACATTTGAAATGTTCTGTTATAGATTCTCTCTCTCTCTCTGTCTTTTCTGAATTATTTGTTGGGTCGGTCTAATACAAAGAACATAGTTTTGCATAACATGGAGTTGCATCCAGACACACCCCACCTCCCACAACAACCCAAAACAGCCCCATTAGGCTAATAATATATATTTTTTTCATCATCAATCATTGAAAATTTTCAAACCAAACAAGGCAAAAAAGGTAGTCAAAACATTCACAAGGAGCTTAAGTTCATTGAACAGACCATGAAGCAGACACACACTGCCATATTTTGTGCTATAAAGTGAGAATACAAGTGGGGGGAAAAAAAAGGTATTTGGCCTTGTGTGAAATAGAGACCATGCAACTGGCCACACCTCTAAAAAAAACAATCTCTTTTTCTTCTCTAAATTTTGTATACTCTTGCCTTCTCTGTTTCTTAGAGTATGGCCTTAGATGAAATGCAAAACACAAAACAGTTGTCTGGTTCCAATTGAAAATACAACCACAAAAACCTTTGTCTGCCTCTCAACTTTGAAAAGTTTTATTTTAATTCTTGAAATTCGAAATTCGTTTCAAAATATCTCCAACACTTCGATATAAAATTCACGAGCATGTGTTGTTTATGTGAACAAATCTAAACACATCCCAAAAGTAAATTTGAAGATTAGAGTTAGAGAAGTATAAAAAAAAAAATGAATAAAGAACAAAATTTCAAAGCCTAAGTTGAAGGAAGAAGATCACAACACTATTTCACAAATTTATTTCTATATGTTAGATTTGTTCATATCAACCGACACAGCTAATCTCTATATGTTAGATTTGTTCACATTAACCGCAACTAATCTTTATATGTTAGATTTGTTCACATCAGTAGATTAGATTTGCTGATTATACGTTTGATTTGTTCGACCCAACTTAGAGTTTGAAATGAAAATTTTGAAAATTTATTTTTAAAATTGGAGATATAATTGGAACGAACCTTATACCCCCACGGATAAGTTTGATAATTTAACCACCTTGCCTTTGGATTGACATCATCTTTGATTATAAAATCTTTATAGTGGCGGGATAAGAAACTTATTTATTTATTTATTATTATTCTTATTATATATATTTGGATATGAAACAATGAGAAATTTACAGTGGCAGAAGAACAAAATGAATTAAATTATTGAAAATGTTTTTTATTCTCACCAATAGTATTTGGTACACGTATCAAATCGACTAAGTCTTGTTGTTTATATTCATTGCAAATTAAAATAGTAAATTTACATCATGATCCAATAAAATTATGTTGATTATGTGTTGTCTTCATATTTTTTTCGTTATTATTTTATGAACGTAACTTTATTACTTTTATGAATTAAAAAGAGCATCTACTTTGGTTGCGTAACTTTTATTTATTTATTTATTTATTTTATTTGACATAAATAATAATATTAACAAAATCTTGAAATTAACTGGAGTTTAGCAACTGAGTTATCTCTAACCAGGGTTGCATATCCACTACATTGTATATGACCATTATTTGCAAATATAACTTATAAATTAGATTTAATAATTAATTATGAATTAGTCTACTTTTCTTGCTTATTTATTATTATTTAAAAAAAAACTTGAGGAAAATATTTAAAGAAAATACAACACACTTTTCACTAGTTTTCATCGGTCAAAAGTTTGTTTTGGTTTTTCTGGTCTTTGTAGAGGGCCATTAATGAATAAATAAATAAATAATATGCCTTTAATTTAATTTCATATATGTATAATTTAATTTCATATATGTATATTTTCAAAGTATTATTATTATTATTATTTTTATTATAAGGACAAAAATGGTAACATTTTCAAAGAAATAAGAAATTAGCCCCCCCTCGTCTTTTTAGTTAATTCAAAATGTTCATAAGGAACCTAACAACTTTCCTTTTGAATATTCTCTCATTTAATTTATAGTTGTTTTTTTCATTAAAAATAAAATAATATGTTATTTTACCTATTAAATTACAAATTTAGACAATAAATTTTGAAATTTATACCTATTTGATTACTAAAATTTTAAAATTATGAATTTAATTATTAAACTTTAAGTGATATATATATATATTTATTTATTTATTTGGTCAACTCGAACACGAATGAATGAACAAAATATGTTCATGTAGGTATAGGTACATAAACATGTGTGTGTATATACATAGTAACAAATGATAGAAGTAGGAATGAGATTTGGATGCAATCAATCCGTTTGAAAGATTCAAAAGGAAATAATTAGTTGACTTTGTCGAAAATCTTTTATTATTGTTCTTTAATCAATCTTTTTTTTTTTTTTTTAAATTTTCTATAAGTCTATCATTCGATGGAGGACGTAATAAGCTATGAAAATAAATAAATAAATAAATAAATGAAAGGCCGACCATTCAGTGCATTATTATTATTGTTTTTTGAGTTAGTATACTAACTCAATAATATTTGTAGAAGCCAACGTCATACGATCAATCTACGCTATTCAACTTAAATTATAGATATTGAGTTGAATTAGATTTTTTTTTTACTTCTTTAGGTTAGATTTTTTTCCATTTGAGTTTGGTTAAATCTTTTTTTCTTGTCCGATTTGAGTTGGATTAAAATTTTAGAAAACAAAAAATTCAAGTCAATTAATAAGTTGATTGTAGTCAACCCGAACAACTCAAAAGTAGATCATAACCCAACTCATTGGAAATTAGTTTAGTATCTTATTATTATGATCGAACTGAGTAATACATTTTACCTTGTGAATATTTAATATTTAATATTTAATTATTAAAATAACATATATCTTATTAGAATATGAAATTTTATTCATATTCTTGAGAAAAAAAACAAATCTAAAGAGAAACTGTATATTTGGGTCTTTATATACAATATTTAATAATTAAATAATGATTTCTCTTAATAATACATATATATATTTATTTTTATTCCTTGAATTTTCAATAACATTTGAGTATAATTTTTCTTAATTGAGCAAAGAAAACAAAAAACAAAGCTGGAGCTTCAACTTTTTCTTCTCCTAAAAATAGTAATGTATTTATTAACTTCTGAGCTGGCTAACAATGTACTAATATTTTAAGTAGGGAATATTACATAACAAATAACATTAAAAAATATATATTCATATATATACTTGTTTTTTTTTTTAATAAAAGAAATCACTTCGAATGTCTAATGGTAAAATTAAAATAACTTAAATTAAAAGTCTAGTCCACGACTACTTTTAATAAGTTCCAATTTCTTTTTTCAAAATATAAAAACAAAATAAAATTAAATTTAAAATTTAAAAATATTTAATGAATTATTCAATGCAATTTCAAAAGGCTTGAAATTTGGTAATTTAACTATTAATTAATTTTTTTCAAAGCTAAAAAAATTCAATAAAAATGTGATTTTTCTTCAAAATCAAAATCAAAATCATTTCAATTATATAATTATAATTCATTGAATTCACGTAAGAATACTCTAATTGAATTCATTTCAATTAAGATTGTAAATTTACATTAGTTTTAAAATTAGAGAGAAAAATCAATAAAATCCAATTTTTCACTCGAATTAAATAAAAGAGTAAATAATAATAATAATAATAAATAATAATATTTAGAGATAAGAAGAGAGGAAATTTTAAATTGCGGTACTTCCAAGGTAAAGAGGTTGTTTTCATGGAGAGGAAATCTCTCTCTCTCTCTCTCTCTCTCTCTCTAAAAGGGGTCCTACGAACAAACCTTTTTGTGCTTTTTTTTCCAATCTATAAGTATCCACCTTCATCCTTTCTCTTCAATTCTTCAATTCTTCTTCAGATTCTCTGTTCCTATTCGTAATCTCCACTTCTCTCTCTCTTTTAATCTCCGATTTCCCGATTTCTGATTCAACTTTTCCATATCCATTTTTCAACCCTGTTTTTTTTCTTTTTTTTCTTTTGAAATTTGATTCGTCTGATTAGATTCATCAATTTTTATGGTGGTGAAATTGGTCCGGTGGCCGTCGTGGCCGCCGTTCTCGTCGAGAAAATACGAGGCGAAGATCAATCTTCGCCGACTGGAAGGATTGACGAATGTATCAGTGAAGGAAGCGAGTGGTTTAGTGGTGGAAATCAAGTGGAAAGGGCAGAAGATAATGGGAGTGAGTTCTTGGAGACGCTCTGTGAAGAGGAATTACACAGAGAAAGGCAATGTCTGTGAAGAAGGAGGCTTATCGGTGGATTGGAACGAAGAGTTTAAGAGTTCGTGTTCCTTTTTGGGCTCTAAGGAGGATCTCATACCTCCATGGAAGCTTTCATTCACAATCCTTCAAAAAGTAAGCAACACTTCTTCCTTCCTTCCTTCCTTCCTTCCTTCCCTCCCTTCCCTCCCTTCCCTCCCTTTTCTTCTTCTTTACGGAATTTTTTACAGTTTCTGTATGGATTGAATTGTGAAAGAATGGTAATTGAATTTTGGTCGTACTGTTTTGCTTGCTTTTTTCCACCTATTTCCCCTTTTGGTTTGACTTTGAATGATGAAGACAAGACGGTTTAATTGTTTCTGCCTTTTGTAGTTTCTATGCTTTTTTTTTTTTTTTTTTTTTGAGGTTGGGGCTAGTGGATGACGTATGGATGAACAATGAGGATGTTGATATTCCAATTTTCTTTTGATATTCAGTGTTTGACTTTTTCTATATCAATAATTTGTCACTTTATGAATTGAATATATCAAATAATTCACAATTAACATAGGAGTATATATAGTGTTCTTACCAGATTTCCTCAGCTCTCATAAGGAAGAAACAGAACATTGCTTGGCCTGCATAAAATAGATGAACAGTTGATGAAAATTCATGAAATAATTCAAGATTAGGTAAATATAAACACAAAATAAATAAATAAAATTACACTAATTAATGTTCGAATTGGAAGGCGTGAAATCCCACCTCGGTTAAGGAGGAGAGCAAATCATCTTCTATAAGAGTGTGGAANTTTTTTTTTTTTTTTTTTTTTTTTTTTTTTTTTTTTTTTTTTTTTTTTTTTTTTGAGGTTGGGGCTAGTGGATGACGTATGGATGAACAATGAGGATGTTGATATTCCAATTTTCTTTTGATATTCAGTGTTTGACTTTTTCTATATCAATAATTTGTCACTTTATGAATTGAATATATCAAATAATTCACAATTAACATAGGAGTATATATAGTGTTCTTACCAGATTTCCTCAGCTCTCATAAGGAAGAAACAGAACATTGCTTGGCCTGCATAAAATAGATGAACAGTTGATGAAAATTCATGAAATAATTCAAGATTAGGTAAATATAAACACAAAATAAATAAATAAAATTACACTAATTAATGTTCGAATTGGAAGGCGTGAAATCCCACCTCGGTTAAGGAGGAGAGCAAATCATCTTCTATAAGAGTGTGGAAATTTCTCCTTAGCAGACGTGTTTTAAAAACTTTAAGGGGAAGCCCGAATGAAAAAACCCCAAGTAAACAATACCTGAATGGATAGAAGGGATCATCCCCATATGTTGAATACTCAAATAAATGATCTGAAAGGGCTCATAATACCTTTTTCTTTGGGGATCTGTGCCAAAATTTTCTCTTGTTTGAGGGGAGCTTCTTGTGGTTGGGCAGCGTTCCAAATTCTTACTCAGTCAGCTGTGATTACAGGGAGAAAACCAAGTACTTCGGAATAGCTATACTGTTGTAGGAACCGCATCACTGAACCTAGCAGAGTATGCTTCCAAAGCTGATGGAAAGGAGATTCAAATAAGCCTTCCTTTGAAGGTTCGTGGCAGCACTCCAGAGTTCAGCCCCTTGCTCCTTGTAAGTAGTATCTCCCAAGTTACCAGCACAAACTGTGTGTGTTCTTCCAGCCTTCAAGGAGATGAAATCTGAAAGAAAGTGCATAGCATCATATTCCCTGCAATTTTCTTTTTTTCTGATGAAGTTCGTTTTCGATTACGCAGTTATCTCTCAACCTCTTGGAGCTGAGAGCTACAAAACCTTTGATGATGGTGCAAAGGTCGATTATGCCTGTTACGCTCTCCCCGCCTTCACCGTTGACTTTGTCTGCAGAGAAAGATGGGTTAGCTGCAATAAGAGCAGGTCTAGATAAAGTGAAAATATTTGGACACTGTGTATCAGCTGGAAGAGCTAAAGTACTCCGTGAAGAAGCTATTGCCACTGTCGATAGGTTTTATATTGAAGATAAGGATTGGACTCACAGTTCTTCACTTGATTCGGATTCGCTGGATGGTGGGAATGAGGATTCATGTGTTAGGAAGCCATTAGGCTATGAAAAACTCGCCCATGCAAACCGTGTGGCAGAATTGCTTCTCCCTGGAACAAAGACCAACAATGGAGATGATGAATGTTGGATATATTGTGGCAATGGTGCAGGATGCTTAGAAAAGGATGATATTGATAATTCACAAACAAGACAGAACTCAATGAGCAAAATCTTGTCATGGAGGAAGAGGAAGTTGAGCTTCAAATCTCCTAAATTTAAAGGAGAGCCTCTTCTGAAGAAACATTATGGTGAAGACGGTGGAGACGACATCGACTTTTACCGTAGGCAGCTCAGCACAAATGAGCTTTTCTCTTGGGTATGTACTCAGGACCTGAACTGCATTTTACTCTGCTTTACTTAAAACCGTACTAATAGTGGCCTCCTCTTCTCCTTCTTCTTCTTGCAGTGGTATAGTTTGGAGTTATCAGCAGCTGCATTTGGGGACGATAACTTCGCTGTAGGTACTTGGGAGCAGAAGGAGATAACTAGCCGTGACGGAGGCTTGAAGATCGAAACTGAAGTCTTCTTTGCCTCTATTGATCAAAGGAGCGAACGTGCTTCTGGGGAAAGCGCCTGCACGGCTCTAGTTGCTGTTATTGCTGATTGGTTGCTATCCAACCAAGAAGAAATGCCTGTCAAGTCTGAACTGGACAATTTGATCAGAGAAGGATCAGCAGAATGGAGGAACCTTTGTGAAAATAAAGACTACATGGAACAGTTCTCTGATAAACACTTCGATCTTGACACGGTAATTGATGCAAAAATCCGACCTCTATCTGTTGTTGCAGAGAAGTCATATGTTGGATTCTTCCACCCAGAAGGGCTGGAGGAAGAGGGTGTTTTCGAGTTCCTCAAAGGCGCCATGTCTTTTGACACCATATGGGATGAAATCAGCCTACTAGCAGCAGACCATCAAACAAGTGTAGGCGAATCGATAGTATACATTGTGAGTTGGAATGACCACTTCTTCATCCTGAAGGTTGACAAGGATGCTTACTACATCATAGATACCTTGGGCGAGCGGCTGTACGAAGGGTGCAATCAGGCATACATTCTGAAATTCGACAAGGAGACAGTAATTCATAGGTTACCAAACAACACAAAGGCATCAGAGGAGCAAACCTCCAATAACACAAACGAGTCAAAGAGCACGGCGCCATCAGATGAGGAAACATCCATTGACACAACACAATCAAAGAGCTCTGAGCCAGCAAAGGAGAAAAGCACCATTAACACAAATCAATCAAAGATCTCAGAGATATCACAGGTGGAACCATCTATCGAGGTGCCACAACTAAAGAACACAGAGATTATGGAGGAAACTCCCTCCATTGATGTCATGCAACCAAGCGACCCTGAAGAAGCATCAACACCAGAACCACCGAGTAGCCTGAAAGAAGCATCAACTGAAAAGAAAGATGAGTCAACAAATAGTGATATAAAGCAAGAGGTTGTGTGCACAGGGAAGGAGTGCTGCCAGGAGTACATCAAGAGCTTTCTTGCTGCACTTCCGATCAGGGAATTGCTGGAAGATGTGAAGAAGAACGGTTTGAATTCATCAACACCTCTTCATCAACGGCTGCAAATAGAATTCCACCGTGCCAAAGTGATTCTAGAGGCATCGGATCAAATTTTGGCAAGCAACGCTTGAGGTTAATTACATAAGCTGACTCAAAAGCTCTGTTTCAGTTCTTATTAACTTTTGAAGAATCTTGTTTTAGACTACAGTAGTAAGGAATAAAGTAAATAATGAAGAGGCATAAATTAAATGTTCATAATGCCCATTTATTCCTTGCTCAATTATTGCTTCACAGAACTTATGATATAATTTTCTTATAAAATAATGTGTATGTAGCTCACCATTTGATATTGAGCTGAAATGACAAAACTTGAATCATGTGGTTTGTACACTTAAATTAAAACAATAAACACTGCTGAGGAATAAATTATTTCAGGTGCATATGAACATCACGTTTTGCAAGAAATCTGATCCATTTTCTAAAATGAACTCTAAAATAATCTCTGGTCAACAACTCCATTGTCTTCACTAAATTGATTATTAAATATCTGGCTAACTAGATTAAATAAATAACTGTAACTGTCGAGCCTACACTCCAAAATTATAATACCGATCAAATGATTTAGATAAGCATATTATGAATTATTCAGAAGTTGATAGGATTTGATGATTTTTAACTCATGTCGAATTTGAGAATTGTCATAAAACAAACAATTTCTAAGCGACCACCAAATACTACCAACCAATGTCAGCAGAGAAACCCTACGTCAAGCAATTAATTCCTGAGGTTCACATTGAAATGCCTGGTTTCATATTCAAACTACTCTACTAAAGAATGAGTAAAAGCAGCGAGTGTTGACACTCAGCTGGAAAGGAGAACGATACTCTTGTTCAGAATTGGAAGTGATCACCTTCATTAACCATATAGAAAAGTTCTGTCCCTCAGATGCCTCCAACTGGAAAGAGCTGGTGTACAAGTTTAACCACTCCCAGCATGGATGCATCATTCTGCAGACAACATTCAAATTGGTTAATGTTTTATGGTACAACAGTTGCAATGATAATTTTATGTGGAGAAGAAAAGTATTGGAACTTCTATTTAGGAACTTTTAGTGATTGAATAAGGAAAGAGAAGACGACTACTTTAGTTTTGTGCTGTACTAGATAAGGTGTACCAAGAGAAAAGCCTATTTGACAATGTTTATGATGAAAGTTGCCAAATTCTCAAACTCTAGCTTGGCCACAAATCAAGCCACAAATTAAATACAGTAAGTCGTTTGTAGATCCATGTGATTTACTAGTGCATTCGATTTGCATTTGTATTAGCAATAATAGTCATGAGAATTTTAGTCTTTGCACTTATATTTTCATAATTTATAAAGGGAATACCAACAGAGACCAAGGATTAAAATTGGACATTTGAGAGTATAGGAACCAAAATAGAATGAAACTCAAAATATAAAGACCAATATGGTATTTTAACTAAAGATTTTCAGTTCTTGTTCCCTCTTTCTTTTCCTCCTCTTTTAGGGGTATTCGACTCACCAGGTAAACAATATCGAAGGCGTTGCGATAGCTGTCAAGAGAGTTTTCAATGTTGTCATTCCTGAAAAACGAGATTATTATCATGAGAATGAATACTTCAAATGAATTTCAACTTAAAACAGCATTCGTAATAAACAGATGACATAAAGTAAGTTTTAAAAAGTTTACTTACAAAAACCCCACAGATATCCGTGTATCGTAGTTTAAACCATCCGACATCCCCAAATCCCCGATGTGGTCACCAAGAAGAAGTACATTCGTCCGTTTTCTTACTGAGGCACTGTCATTGGTTGCTCCATTTACATCACCCAATTGGTCATGAAGAGGAGCGGCCATGTCAAGAGCATGTTCATTCTTATTTAGACTATGAATTGTCTTGCCTGCAAAGAGAAACATTTCCATAGGACAAACTCATTCAAATGTAACAATCATAAGAACCGCTAATAAAATGACCGTGACAAGTAGTAGCCAGCTAAAAAATAAGAAGGTACCCTTAAATGATACAAGGCAACCATTATCATCAAACACCATTCTATTCGAAACGATCCTAATATTCTTAAAAGATCTGTGAAGCTTCTGCCTCAGGACCTGGTCCAGGAACAAGAAAAGGGCGATATATCAAGAGAGGACACGCAAGTGAGCTTTAGATGTGAAATTATATCTGTATAAAATGCATTATAGAACAAAGAACATTTGACCATGCCTACCTCCTCTATAATGTCAGCAAGACCAGCTGAAAATATAAGAACAGGAACATCCCTTTCCTGATCATCATGATTTGTGGTAGTTAAAAAATGTTTAGAGGGTGTTCGATACGAAAAATCAGCTATATCATGAAACCAAAAAACAGAAAATAAAACATTGATATTTACCCCACAAAGGGCATTATAGCAAGTAATGTTTTCACTTCAGGGAGAAAAGGTTTTACCTCTAGAAGTTCAAACAGCTCAACCACTCCCTCCCTAAAAGCAATAGTAGCAGAAGCAACCGATTGCTTTATTGCATCAAATGTAAGGCCTCCTTCAATAAGAAGTGAATGGCTTTTGCCCCACCTGCAATGCATAATATGGAAATACAGATTTTGATGCACCCATCAACAAGAACTAACAAAACAACATGGATAGAAATTCATAATGTATAATTGCAGAAGCATCACAGAAATAACTCGATTTTAGCTGATACTGGTACAAATATATGCCCTTCAACTCCCATCCATAATATACTTCTGAGAGACAAATAGACGCATCACGAGTTCCATACAGATTACTTCTCAATACAATTTGAAATCCAAGAGATGAAAAATTAATAGCAAAGAACATCTAATAAACATACCACTCTTCCATGAGCTTCGTTTTCTCTTCTATCGAAATTGTAGGAGAATATTCCAAGGGATGGTAATATTTATAAAGTTCTTCTCTCTTATCATCATAATCAGGATTCCCCTGCTTTAGAAGACCGTGACTGGCTACACATGTTAATCTTGTCAGCACAACATAGATCAAGTTCATCACAATTAAAAATAGAGCTTCGATACAAAGTTGGCAGGTAGTAGTCATTAAATCTTACTTTGACCTCGGCGGCCATCAATCCAGTATCTCGTTAGCGTAGCATCAAAGTCAGCAATAACCTAAACAATACCGCCTACTATTATTTCTATAAACAAAGGTAAGAAAAAAGAAAAAACATCAGACTCAAAAACAAAAGAGCAAAACCTGGAGCTTCTGTAGTCCCGAAAGGCGCATAGCTTCCAGTTTCTTCTTGAGCAGATCGGTATCGGCGACAACTGCCTCAGAAGCCTGTAAGAACCCCTGCTCCTCCATCCCAATCACGTTTGGGTTTCCGCAAAACCAAAGCCTTCAAAAGAAAAACGAATAGAAAAGTCCATGAACGTGAAAAACGATTAGCAAGGTGAGAATGCTGCATAGTCGCGCAAAAGAATCGAGTGAAAATGGGATTTGGATTTTGAAGGAACGATTGAGCAAAAGCAAAAACAAAAACAATGGAACAGAGAGAAAAGTAACCTGGAATTGGAAGATGGATAAGAAGGAAGCTTGGAGATGGAATGGAAGCGAAATGGAATCGTTGAAATGCACAGGACTCGACCACTCATCTGGGCGTTCGCCTCAAATCAAACGAACAAGCATCGCACTTTTTGGGTATGCCATCTTCCTTTTTTTCTTTTCTTTTTTTCTTTTTTTCGGAATTTTTTCCATTTTTTTTTTCCCGCTAAATTATACAAAATGCTTCATAAATTGATTCATTATCTTTTAATTGGTAACAATTTATTTAATTAATAACTATAAAAGTTCTTTATGGCACGAAAAATAATTAAATTTTCTACTCCATGAAACATTTTCATTTCAAATTAATCATTTAAATAAAAATAAAAAGTTCTGAGCAGATTATTTTACTTTATAAAAAATAAAACAATAATAAGTTATTAATTCGTTCGAATTTTCTCTAGAAAATGATTTTCTTCTACGAAAATCAACAAATAAATAAATAAAGCTTGACAAAGCTCAGAATTTTGAATATATTTTAAAAATCAAATTTCTATTAAATATGCATTATTAAAATAAAAATATAAAATTAATTAGAAAAAAAAAAAAAAAAGAGGATAAATCAATGACTGGTCTATTAAAAAAAAAAAGAAAAAAAAAACATAAAGCAGAGAGAGATGTTTGTGTTTCCCAATCCAATCCTATTTTATCTGCAAATGCAATACATAATTGTTTGAGTTCATGGTAAGCTAGAAAGCACATAGTAAGGAGAACAAAAACATAATCCCGGAAACTTACTTCGTTATCCTAACCCCGACTAAATTAATATAATCAAAGTCATCTATTTATTTTTTAGAAAAATTGGATATGACTGCCTGGAGCTGCTGCTCGATCCCTTTCCTCCATTTGGGGTATCCCAAAATTTTGATGTAGCTGTCTGTGGAGCACCATTCAAAATCATTGTTGAGCGCACTGGACTCTCTGGGCACCGCCGGGCATATCATCGTCTTCGTCGTAAGCCTCTTGTACTTGCTTCCTGCGCATCTCCTCTTCGATGTTGACGTCGTGGAGAGTGGTCTCTTCACATTCATCCAACTCCATGTCTGAGAGCTGCACAGAAGACCTGGGTGGTAGCACCCCCTCCAGCGCCTTGCACTGTTCAGAGTTCAACGAGTCTGGGAACTCCACACTGAAGTGGATGTAAAGTTTACCCTTCATGAATGGCCTCTGGTACATTGGCATACCCTCATCATTTACAGCCTTGAATTGATCTGTGTGATTAAGAACTCACGCTGTGAGCAAATGCCGTCGTAACAAGCACAGCAGACGTAACGTAATGGATCGTAAATATAGTTACATACCGGGCTTTACTACTTCGCCAGGAAGGGATTTGATGAGTAGCTGGCGGCCGTCCAAATGAGTTAGAATAAACTGGAAACCGCAAAGGGACTCGACGAGAGACAAGGTATGCTCTACGAAGAGGTCATCGCCCTTTCTCTTAAACTTCGGGTGCTCTTTTTGTTGTAGAACAAAAACGATATCTCCAGTAAGAGTGTCGGGCTGAATAAATGAATAAAATGAAAACCAATCATATCACATGTTTCAAGTGCGGAGGAAAAATACCGAATAAGAACGCAGTCTTACCGCTTCATCTGCTTCACCAGGAAATGTAATCTTTTGTCCATTTTGCATACCCTTCTCAACAACTACTTCCAACACTTTCTTCTCCTGAACAACCTTTTCACCCTTGCACTGTGAGCAACGATCTTTATCATTGATCGTCTCACCAGTTCCTTTGCATTCATTACAAGGATGCTGCATTTGTTGTATCATAGAGGGGCCGAGGTGTCTGATGGAAACTTTCATACCGGATCCTTGACAGCCAGGGCAATTCATTGAAGCACCAGATTTCGAGCCCTTACTGTAATTTGTTAAATCAAAGTTCACGTGAGTACAGAAAATAAAGACAATTAATGAAAGGGAAAAGACATAACGACCACGGTTACTCACCCCTTGCACTTTGAGCAAATTACATTGCGTGAAAGAGAGAGCTTCTTTGAAGTCCCATTGTAGAGATCTTCCAAGGAGACCTTGAGGGGATGGATAACATCCTCTCCCCTTCTTTGCCTTCGACCTCTGCTGCTTCCACCACCTGAATACAATCTCAAAATGGATTTCAATTGCTTAAAGAAACTCCATAGTACATAATTGAACGTCACAGCAAATAATTATTACCACCAAATGGGCTTCCACCAAAGAAAGACTGGAATATGTCAAATGGATCATGACCACCGCCACCACCCATTCCTTCCTTGAGGGCATCCTCGCCATATTGGTCATATATCTCACGTTTCTCTGGATCACTCAGTACCTCATAGGCTTGAGCTAATTCCTTGAACTGCATCACGAATGGAAATTTTTCAAAAGGTTAATATTTTTTTCCCATTATGTTGATTGACTCAGCTGTCTGAGCCAGGTTTTAAAGCCAGAGAGCTTGGAATATATTTGTCAAGACAAAACAATGGGAGAATCAACCAACATCAAATTTAAATACCCAGGTAAACAGATAATGACTGAAATACAACAATCAAGCTTTAGGTCGAAGTCATGCGATCAATAAGCTTCCCAATTAAACGTTCAAATTACACACCTAACGTAGTAAGAGCGTCAATTCCTACAAAAGTTATTGCAACCCTAGCAAACCAATCTCTTCATTGAAATACAGGCGTGTAAAAAGCAACATTCTTAGTGAAAAATCAAGACCATCAGCAAAACAAAGCATCAATTCAGAAAACTAAGTAGATCTAAACATCATGATCCACAATCATTTATCATCAGGAAAAGACATTAGAAAATTCAAAGAAAAATAATAGGACTAACGACTCAGAATCATCAAAGGGGGGAGAAAGAGCTAACTTTTTCGGGGTCACCACCCTTATCAGGATGGTTCTTGATAGCGGCTTTTCTATAAGCCTTCTTTAGGTCGTCTTGCGACGCATTCTTCGAGACTCCGAGAATCTCATAGTATTTGGTGTTGTCGCTCTTCTTGGGCCTTCCAAACATTTTTGCCTCACCGATCGGATCTCAACAAACCCTAATAAAGCAATCAAACACATAATCAAAAACCAAGACCTCGAAAGCGAAATCGAGGGGGGAAAAACTCGAAACCCGATGAATCAAATGGAGAAAAACACGAACCTCACAAGAGCGAAAGGGACGATCTTGAAGTGAAAGAACGGGTAGAGAGATCGACCTGCGAGCAGAGAAACCAAAGGGGTCGCTCGAGACGGCGAGGGAGAGAGGGATTGGAAAGACTCAAATCTCAAACTATAAGGAATTATTTTGACGGTTCGGATTGTTTCTTTAAAAGATGTGGTCTGCTGAGGCTTAGGGGTAATTTTGACATTTTGATACTGAGGCGGCCAAGCCCACATGTGCTGAGGAAGGATCTAGAATTTTCCTGCTTTTCTTATTTTATGATTTCCGCCTCTTTTTAGCATAAGTTTAATTAATTCAAATTATAAAATTTAATTATCGTACTTTCATATTTTTATAAAATAATATTTTTTTGGCCTTCAAATTTTATTAAAATTTAAATTACTTTCTAGAGTAAGTAAATTTTGTATTTTGTATTTAATAAATAATTTATTTATTAAGCACATTTTAAAGTTGACCAACATATTAGACCTTACTGGTATAATAACAAGAACTTTCAGAGAACCTACAAGGAACCACTCAAGGATCAAAGAATGTTTCTCCCATCACAAGCCGTCGATTTTGAGGACCATAATGAAAAATACTCGAGGAGGGAACCTGAAACTTTGACCAACATCTTCCAATTGTAGTCAAAGAAAACTACATGCTCTGAGCAACAAAACATATTAGGGCTATCGAGTTGGATTTCTTTCTACATTGCAACTTTGTTGGGATGTTCGAGGCCAATTGGGTCCATTTCGAGAATGGCTCGGGTACACCAATGCCTTGAATAGCCTGAATTCTTTGAACAAGAGTCACTTTAAAAATCTTACCTAAACTTTTCCAACTGAATATAATAACGCCTATACAACAACGAGCTAATACCATGTGGAAGGCGGTTAACGCTCATCGAACACAAATGCACAAACTCGAAAGAACTCTAAGCACATTTCAGTGAATAACCAAAATTACCATTCATTACACATCATTTAAAGCATGTTAGCGTGGCCCTGTTGATCCTGTTCCAAACGAGTTTAAGCTGGAAATATAACCAAAATATACATTCAAGTGAATACCAACAAAACCAAGAATATGGCTATAGAGTATAAATTCATGTGGCATATAATTAATGAAATGTCAACGGACAGAAAAGAACGGTACCAAGAATGTGCCTATATATATATATAGTTTGATCTTGCATAGCCAAAGAATGCAGACTGCCTGGATGAACAATTCCAAATACATGTTGGAGTGAATATAACCACAGATGAATGACAATCTATTTAAATATATATAAATCAAATGCAAGCTCTGCACAACCATGTAAAAGGTTCCCTCCAACAGCTCCAAGAAACGATGATCAGATGAGACAAGTGTAACGTTTAGCCTCGAAGGGATGCACGAGGAACAGCGGGTAAACCCAGTTCATCCTCAGCCTGTGCATCAAATTTAGGACGAAACTCAATGCATATAAAAACAGCCAAAAGTCCAGAAGGTGAAATAAAAACCAACGAACTCACATGAACTGATAGATGTAACTTCGTGTTAATGGATGCAATTGAGCAATATTTCAATTTACGACCATTTTTTTAAATGAACAAGAACGAGATTTTTTACTCCAAGAAGTTGGATCCAGTATATGTTTGACGATCGTTACCTGTGCATTGGTTCTGCCCGCAGGAACGGCTGCATGCCCTGTAGGAGCTGAAGGCAAGTTGAGCTCTCCTTCTAAATCGGATTCCTTATCGGGCTGGAGATATGATGGAACCCCATCAGTCTCAGTTTCAAATCCCATGTCTGCTTCCAAGGCATCCAGCTCTATATTCCAAAAAAGTAGTGAAGATGTAAGATTCCTAGGAAGCCATATTTCATCAAAATTGAGCATTTAAATGCAGCAATCATACCGCCCAAGAGTTCATCCTCGTCAATGTCATCAGGTACATTATAGCTCCTACCAAGAGTCTCTTGAATTTCATTGCTCACATCCATCAGATCCATCATTTCATCTTGTAAGTTCTGCAGACAACACAAAACCTCTCAAACAAAGGCTTGAATTAAAACTAAGGATGCTAAAACGAGGTGATTGCTACTGACATCTATGTCCTGTATCCTCACTGTTTTCATCATTCCTTTCAACTCCTTGTTGGCAGATTTCAAGGCCGACATCTACAAAAAGAATAAATCAACGATAGTATGAGAGAAAAGGCCACTCCAATTTGATTTAATAAACGCATCCAGGATATCAATCCCCGTTACAAGCTAAACTGATATTAGGAAGACGATGAGAGACCGCAGATAGAACTTTATTGAACTTCAAGAAATGCCTTCCTAATGGTAGATGTTTGTCCCCTACCTCGTGCTCTCACGAGGCAGGCAGCAGGTTTCAACTAGACAGACAAAGCTCCACCTTAACTGCCCTGAACTCTTGGACATCTGACCCCACGTTATAAACACAAACTAAAACGTGGGATGTCTAGTCAAACAATTAAGCAAGCAAGCAATCAAATTATTTCCCCTTTCCTTATCCTAAGATTTTCTCGATTTAAAATCAATACGTTTGAGTCCAAATCTGCAATGGAGCACTCGCACTTTTCTTTTCTTTCCTCTCTTTTGAGGGGCAAAAGATGAGCAAACCAATGATCACAAAAAGGGTCGACAGATGTTACCGTTTGTTGAGCATCTTTAATTCCCTCCGAGGCAAATGCAACTTGGTCTAAGTTAAAGGTCTGATTGTACAGCATGTCACGTTGTCCTTCATACCTGTTATAAAGCATAAGAAATATCTTAATAACCATACCGATAGTAAACAATAAAAAGAACTCATACTTGGCAAACTGAAAAAAGAAAAAAAAAAAGAAGTTTAGAACAAAATAATCCCAATCCAATTGTAGTCAGACGAGCTTCCAAACTTCTAATCAGTTCAACAGCAAGCATTCAAATCAACAATCTTTCTAACATTAAAAAGAAAAAAGAAAAGTTAAATTGTGGTCAAGTCAATCAAAGTTTAGGGTTTACGGAAAAAGGATTTCTGGAAAAAGAATGGAAATTCAAATGAAAGTGTCAGGCGTATTATCATGCCTTTCGCACTGCTCAATCACTTGCTTTGTTCTCGAGTCAGGGGCCGGATTTTTGGGAACAGATAACAGTTAACTACGAACATGAAGTTCTAGCAACAAAACCAGAGGGAAAAACAGAAAGTTATGGCGAAGGAAACATGGTGAAGTAAATATATGTTGCTTGAAACAAGAACACCCAAGCATACAGGCTTCTGCCAGATCTCCAAGCCAAATTATCAAATCAATTCAACAAAATCATCCCTCCAAAGTATTCACACTACTTTATGATTAAAAGAATGCAAAGGTTAGTTATATGCCCAGGTCGCACGGAAGAACTTTAAGAAAAAGTAGCAAAAATGGGATCATACATTCGTTTTTGCTTTAGTACTCTCATCGCTCGAGCTTTAACAGCTTCTTGAGCTGGACCGGGCCTTGTTTTCTTGATCTGCTCCTTATATCTACTGAGTTCAGCATCAAGCTTCTTTATCTTTTCATCCACTGAATCGCCCCTTTTATTAATCTGAAAAGGGGAACAATACAGAACATCCCAATTGACACAAATGAATTCAACGAAGGAGAAGCAGCCGATTCTTCCCAATAAATAAAATAAACCAAAATTCTCGTATTTCAAAATCCATGCCAACAAAAGAAAAATAAGCCCTAGATGTAAAAGAAATAGTAACGATTACTCTTTCGGAGGCATCTTGGATAGACGGAGGCGGTTCTTTGTCTTTCTTGACGCCGAAAACCCTCCTCATCTTTCGCTGCCGCAAAAATGGAGCAATTCGACGTCGATCAGCCTCCGAAGACGAGAATCGACGCCAAAATGTGGAAGAAAAAACCCCGAAAGAGAGAATTTAGTTTCGCTGGGAAGATCACGACGAGAATCTCTTAGACATCCCTTTTTCTTGGATCGTTCAGGGAAGAAAAGAGAAGACCAATGGAAAATATTCACCTGCATCCGAACATATGTTAGCAAGAAGCCAACTACGTGGATTTTTTTTTTCTTTCTTTTTTTTTGCAATTGAACGGAACGGTTCTTTGTTTGACAATCCATCATTTAATAAGTATATTTTTCCCTCTCGAAAAGTGTAACTTTACTGTTTTACCCCTGCCTTTTCGATTTTTTTCCTAATCGCCCTATATCCCCGCGTTAAGAATCAGTCAATTTTTTTTAATAAATAAATAAATAAATATATATATATATATATACATCTAAATAATTTTGAATATGCTTTATTATTGTTTTCTTACTCGACCGTTAAGAGTTACACAATTCCAATATTTACATGCTTATACACTAACCAGTAAATTATGGAAATTTTAGATAAATTCAAGTCTACTAACAATCTCCTAAAATCTTTGTACTTAAATCATATCTTAATTTTGAATACTTTAAATCATATCTCAACATCTATTAATGTTGAGTCACCTTATGATTACGAGCCATTTAAATCTTATGGGCTAAATAACATATGAATAGCACGTGCACGTGTCCAAATAAGTCTCGTGTTCAAATAAGCACTTAATAGGGAATAAGTAGTTGATACAAGTATAAGAGATTCAGAATATTATTTATAGTTTCACAGACACAATGCTTCTTTCAAACTCACTTCACATGGTTGCTATTTTACAATGTAATGAGATATAACTTCATGACTTTGAAGGCGTCTCAAATCACACAGCACAGAGTGTCTTTCAAGCCACTGTTATGAAAATGATACAATACAATGAAGATGAACCATGATCAAGAACGAACGAGGGGGAGAAAGTGCAGCTAAATACAGCAAAGTCTGGACGGTTTGACACGAGGGCGTGCTCGATGAAACGTCTCATCAAGGTGCTAATCCAAGTTCCTTTCTTGTCTTTCCAACGAACAAGTCTCCAGATTTAATCAATCCAGGAATGCATCCACTTATTGTAATGAAAGGGAGTTGTGCGATTGCCTCCTTCCTTCCGAGCGAAACGATTGCAAGCTGCGAACCGGGTTTGTATGTAGCCAACCTGCTCTCATTTCCACCCATTAGCATCAGTTTCAGGTTCTTGGAGGTTACATGAGCATGGTTTTCTGCTATATAACCTTGTTTCATTTCCTGTTCAATGAATCCAAATTCACAATATTATGCAGAGATGTCATTTGAGTATCTGAATAGAAATGCAGCATGTTAAGAAATCAAGCCAAGTTGACGCCTCGTTGGGTGCCTATGTTTGACAATGTGAGATTGTAACGGCGTAAGTCCACCGCTAGCGGATATTGTCTTCTTTGAGCTTTCCCTTCCGGACTTCCCTCAAGGCTTTAAAACGTGTCTACTAGGAAAAGATTTCCTCACCCTTTGGGTGTTTCGTTCTCCTCCCCAATCGATGTGGGATCTCACAATTCACCCCCTTTAGGGCCCAGTGTCTTCACTGGCACTCGTTCTTTTCTCCAATCGAAGTGGGACCCCTACCAAATCCACCCATTCGGGGCCCAGCGTTCTTATTGGCACACTGCCTCGTGTCTACCCCCTTCGGGGAACAGCCTCCTTGCTGCCACATCGTCCGGTGTTTGGCTCTGATACCATTTGTAACGGCCCAACCCACCACTAGCTAGCAGATATTGTCCTCTTTGGGCTTTCCCTTTTGGGCTTCTCTAGGAACGAAACATTCTTTATAAGGACGTGGAAACCTCTCCTTAGCATACACATTTTAAAAACCTTGAGGGAAAGCCCGAAAGGAAAAGCTCAAAGAGGACAATATCTGATAGCGTGGGCTTAGACTGTAACAAATGGTATTAGAGCCAGACACCGGGCGGTGTGACAGCGAAGACGCTAGCCCCCCAAGGGGGTGGATTGTGAGATCCCCCACTGGTTGGAGAGAGAAATGAAACATTCCTTATAAGAGCGTGGAAACCTCTCCCTAGATGACGCGTTTTAAAAACCTTGAGGGAAAACTCACAGAGGACAATATTCGTTAGGGCTTGGCCTTGGGCTCTAACAATATAAACTACTAACTAAATGCAATTATGGCCAATTAAGTAAACGTACAAAATGAAGGACTTACCTGAATGTCAGTGATATCTCCCACTGCAAAGACATTTTTAAAACCCCTGACTCGCAAGTGCTTGTCAACCATCAGTCTTCCATGGATGTCCAAACTTTTTTTCAAGACGGTCTCTTTCAGCCACCGAGACCCAACGGGTTTTCCGATGCACATGAAGTGGCAATCGGCTGCAATAGTCTCGCCATCCGATGTTTGATATACTCCATCTGATAAAGATTGCATCGAAATAGATTGTTGTAGGATCACTTCAACTTTCTTTGATGTCAACCAATCCAGTGCCTTTTGGGAAGCCTTAAACCCAACGAATTCCATTAATCTCGACCCCCGGTGTATTAGTTTCAAATTTTTCTCTGGAAAATCAACAGCAATTTCAGCAGCAAGTTCTACACCAGTAGGACCTCCTCCAACTATTAAGATCGTATTGGCAGATTTTATCTTCTCGCATTCTGCATCCAAAAAGAAGAGCAAATTAGTGTTAGGAACCATGACTCTCCATGATGGTATGATATTGTTCACTTCGAGTATAAGTTCTTATGGCTTTACTTTGGATTTTCCAAAAGGCCTCGTACCAATGGAGATGTATTCGTTACTTATTATAAACCCATGATCATTCCCTAAATTAGCCAACGTGGGACCTCACAACAATCCTCAACAACTCTTGAAAATTTGGAAGGAAACAGTTTTTCTCGATCAAGAGTGTCTTGTCACTCTGCTACTTCAAGAGATCACATACAAACGAAATTTCGAACGTTGCATATCGTGCAAATAAAGCTCCAGAGAAAAAAATCAATAAATGAAAATCCGAGCAGATCCTACAACCGAACTATTAACATGGCCAGTTATACTTCAATAACGAACATAAAAATTTCAGTGAATTAAACTTATTCACCTGCTTGGTATTGACTGAGCCTTTCAGTTCTACTTTTTGGAACGGCTTCCTCATGACCGGTGGCAACAACAAGATAATCATAGGGAACTGAAGAGCCATCTGACACAATAACTTCCTTGTCTGTGATATTTGTGGCTGAAGATGCAACAATTTTTGCATTGGAAAGGTAATCGGTATGATTAATCACGGATCTTTCAGCGAACGATGGCTCGACCATTGACCTCAACCCTGCCCATGAGATCTCAAAATACTCCTTCCTGAATCCAATTAAATCATTACGACCATTCTGAAAAATACTTTCTTCAGGAAAAGAATGGGGATGCCAAGAATGGATCAAATAACACTAGACAGGATGCCCAGGTCCTTTTTCATTTTTAGTGTTGATATCTTTTATGCCAATGTGAGCGAGGCTCAACCAATTAGAGGTCAAAAGTTAGAATTTCAGCCCCACCTAATAAACTAAAAGAACCAGAAGTATAGGTATCTCTTATGATTTTAAATAAGTAAGAATACTGCCAGACAGTACAATATCTAGAATATCAACGTGCTCCACAACTTATAAGATGTATGTGAACTTAATGTTGAGATATGATTCAAAGTATTCAAAATGAAGATATGATTTAGGGTAGTTAGATATGATTCAAATATTCAAACTACCAAGATTTTAGGAGATTGTTAATAGATTTGAGTTTATCTAGATTTCTATGATTTACTATTTCTGGTCCAGTGTATTAGCTATAAATACTGGAATTGTGTAACTCTGTAGGTATCAAGTCCGTAGACATTAATAAAGCACTGCAGCTTCTATCTATTCTCATCTATTCCTATCTCTTTCACTATCCCTCTTTCCAACAATTGTGGTATCAGAGCCAAGTTCGTTCGACACGAGGGCGAGTGATTATTTTCTTTCACAAAACAAAAATGGCAGTAGCTGGTTTTTCTTCCTCTGCACCGTTGTTACCAATCTTTAATGGTGAGAAATATGAGTGGTGGAGCATCAAGATGAAGACCTTGCTCAGATCGCAGGAGCTATGGGACTTGGTGGAGCACGGGTTTGCTGATGTATTAGAACCCACAATAGAAGAAAAGGAGAGACTGAGAGAAACCAAGAAAAACGATGCCAAGGCTCTATTCATTATTCAACAAGCAGTTCATGAGACTATTTTTTCACGAATTGCAGCAGCAACCACATCAAAGCAGGCATGGTCAATTCTACGGAAGGAGTTTCTAGGAGACTCAAAGGTCATGACAGTGAAATTGCAATCTCTAAGACGTGATTTTGAAACTCTACTCATGACGAATGGCGAATCAATTGCTGATTTTTTGTCAAGATCAATGGCAATAGTCAGTCAGATGCGTACCTATGGAGAGAAAATTTCAAACGAAACAATTGTTGCAAAGGTGTTGAGAAGCTTGACTCCAAAGTTTGACCATGTGGTGGCCGCCATAGAAGAAGCTAAGGATCTATCCATACTCTCCGTTGATGAACTGATGGGCTCGCTTCAGGCTCATGAGGCAAGAATCAGTAGAGCATCAGAAAGAAACGAAGAAAAGGCACTACAAGTGAAGGAGACAACCAATAACGAAAGAGAAAATATTCATTTAGCAGGTAGAAGTCGTGGAAGAGGAGGATTTCGCAACTTCCATGGTGGTCGTGATAACAGTTGGAGAAGTGGTGGACAGAGACAATTCAATGAACAAAGGAATGTCATACAATGTTACCATTGTAGAAGGTATGGTCACACAAAATCTGATTGTTGGTATAAAAATCAACAAATGAATTTTGAAGCAGAGAATGAAGAAGAAGAAGATAAGTTGTTTGTGGCGTGCATGGATACTAATCCGGAAAAAGGTAGCTTATGGTTTGTTGATAGCGGATGCTCGAACCATATGACAGGCACCAAATCCTTATTCAAAGAGCTTGATGAGACGCAAAAGATTAAGGTGCAACTTGGAAATACAAAAGAGATGCAAGTTGAAGGAAAAGGTACAGTGAAAGTCGAAACCAGTCACGGTAAGATAAAACAATTAGATAATGTTCAATTTGTACCTGATTTAGGGTACAATTTATTGAGTGTTGGACAATTGATGACCAGAGGACACTCAGTTCTATTTGATGATAACACATGTGTCATCACAGATAAGAAATCAGGCCATAAAGTTGAAATTGCCATGACTTCAAATAAGATGTTTCCACTTGATGTTTCTAACATGGAGGATTTTGCTCTTACTGCTAGCATGAAAGATGATTCAACATTATGGCATCTCAGATATGGACATCTTCATATGAACGGCCTGAAAATACTCAGGGATAAAGGTATGGTTTTCGGATTACCAAAAATTGACTCAACTAATTTATGTGAAGGATGCATTTATGGCAAGCAGACTAGGAAGTCCTTTCCTGTTGGAAAAGCTAAAAGAGCTTCACATTCTCTAGAACTAATTCATGCTGATTTATGTGGGCCAATGCAAACGAAGTCCTTGGGTGGAAGTATATACTTTTTACTATTCGTTGATGACTATAGTCGCATGAGCTGGGTTTACTTCCTACAACATAAGTCAGAAACTTTTCAGAAGTTCCAGATTTTTAAAGCTATGGTAGAGAACCAAAGTGGCTGTCACATTAAAGTTCTTCGCACAGACAGAGGTGGCGAGTTCATATCTAAAGATTTCAATCTCTTTTGTGAAGAAGAGGGCATCCAAAGGGAATTAACAGCTCCCTACACTCCAGAACAGAATGGAATCGCTGAACGAAAAAATCGAACTATTGTGGAGATGGCAAGAAGTATGTTACAAGCAAGGAGACTTCCAAACCAATTTTGGGCCGAAGCCGTAGCAACATCTGTTTATCTATTAAACATCTCACCAACAAAGGCGGTTATGAATCGAACTCCTTATGAAGCATGGCATGGAAGGAAACCATCTGTAAGTCATTTACGAATCTTTGGTTGTGTTGCTTATGCTTTGAAACATCCTCAAACTCGTCAAAAGCTTGATGAAAAATCTGAAAAATGCATTTTCATTGGCTATTGTACTCAATCAAAGGCATATAAACTATACAACCCCGTTAGTGAAAAGATTTTAGTTAGAAGGGATGTAATATTTAATGAAAACGTGAGTTGGGATTGGAGTAAAGAACAGGAGCAGCAAAAGATTACAGTTGAAGTTTCCCCAAATGAAGAGACAAGGGTCAACTCCAGTGCACCTCCCAGTGCATCCACTGCAACACAAAGTGTGTCAAATTCATTATCTTCAGAATCATTGAACAACAATTCCTCTCTTGAAGAACTTTCAGATGAGACACCTCCAAAGAAGTATAAATCTTTAGCTGACATATATGCATCATGTCAGTTTGCTCTTACTATTTCAGACCCTATCAATTATGAAGAAGCAACTGAAAAAGAAGACGGGAAGAAAGTCATGGCAGTAGAGATGCAGTCCGTTAAGAAAGATGGAACATGGGATATGGTTGACCTACCAAACGAAAATTTTTATGGAGATTTACAAGAAGAGGTTTATGTAAGACCGCCAGAGGGATTCATAAAGGAAGACAAAGAAACAAAAGTATACAAGCTGAGACAGACAATGTACGGGTTAAAGCAGACATACTTACAAAGGCCTTGTCAGAAGAAAAGCTCTGTACTTACATCTGCAACTTTGAATCATGGGGGAGTGTTGAGATATGATTCAAAGTATTCAAAATGAAGATATGATTTAGGGTAGTTAGATATGATTCAAATATTCAAACTACCAAGATTTTAGGAGATTGTTAATAGATTTGAGTTTATCTAGATTTCTATGATTTACTATTTCTGGTCCAGTGTATTAGCTATAAATACTGGAATTGTGTAACTCTGTAGGTATCAAGTCCGTAGACATTAATAAAGCACTGCAGCTTCTATCTATTCTCATCTATTCCTATCTCTTTCACTATCCCTCTTTCCAACACTTAACTCATCAATACTTAACAGCTCAAGCCCACCCCACGGCTTTTAGAACGCATCTAGTAGGGAAAAATTTTCGCACCCTTATATAGAATGTTTCGTTCTCCTCTCCAACCAATGTGGAATCTCACAATTCACCCTCCTTCAAGGCCCAACGTCCGGCACTCGTACCCCTCTCCAATCAATGTGGTACCCTCCAATCCACCCCCTACAGGTCCAGTGTCCTTTCTGGCACACCGTCTCGTGTCCACCCCTTTAGGGCTCATCCTCCTCACTAGCACATTGTCCGGTGTCTAGCTCTGCTGCCATTTGTAACAGCCAAGCCCACCACTAGCAAATATTGTCCTACTCGGGCTTTCACTCAAGATTTTTAAAATGTGTTTGGTAGGGAGAGGTTTCTACACCCTTATAAAGAATGCTTCGTTCTCCTCTCCAACTGACGTAGGATCTCACAAAAATGTACTTAAAATTTCAGCAATTAGGCATCATCTTCATCGTATAAGTATATTTCTACAATAAATTCATTTGTACATCGTCCACAACTGAGATAAGCTCCTGCAGGCCTTGGATCAGCTACTTTTTATTGCCTATAAATAGCTAAATATTCACCTCAATTATCCAAATATCCTCTTGCTCACAATTAGCTAAGCCTGAAATAGGTGTGAGTTTTATTACATAATTTGATTTTATCTCTATCAAAACTTTATCTGGTTTGTCTCTAACCCAATGCAGAGGCAAGGTTCATCAGCCCTTGCTATTCTCCGCTGGAGGATCTCACAGTGGCTACATAATCCACCAACCTATTTTGATAAGTCTAATTTTTCTTATATTCTACCATGAATCACAGATGACTAATGATTTTCCTTTTACACGAATCTCCTCCAACAAAATGGGCAACAGTTCCTAAACTTTTCAATAACAACTCCTACGATCCAATCCAATGATCGAACAAGAAGAGGAAAAAGAAAATATCAATAACAAACAGAAGTACAAGCAGCTTACTGATCGATTAGCACGACATCGGCAACAAATTGAAGAGAATAAGCAACAAAAGCGCCGCCAATTCCTCCGCCTACTACCACCACTTTCTTCTTGTCCTCCGCCGCCATCATCTGCAGACCTTTCATATAATTCAATAGACATACATCTTTAAAGCGATTTCAAAACAGCCTTTAATAGCTCAAAAACTCGAATACTAAAATGATAATTAGCGAATAAATATGGGGATTGTGTCGAGATCAAGAAATCGAAGCTGTTCCAGTGAGAAAGCCCCAGATTCCGGCTGTTGGCGGGGCCCGGAGAGGGAATTTTGGAGAGTAAAAAAATGGGGAAAAAGAGAGGAAAATATTTATATATAAAAAAAAAAAAAAAAAAAAAAAAAAAAAAAAAAAAAAAGA